GTCTCAATCACTCTTGGAATGTTAGCAAAGATATTAACATTAACAAACTTCTGCCACTTTTGAGTCAGCAGATTTTAGTCTTACATATATTCATTGAAGTTTTCTTTAGTTCTTAAGAGCAAGTTAGATCATCTAGAATTATCCCAAATGAAAGCCAAAATGTTTATCATATGAATGAACTGTTCCACTGCTAGTTTATAGCTCGCTCTTTTCTAGGGACCTTTGAGTCCTTGCTTGTGAGAACTGAAAGTAATGAAGAAACAGAACATGTGACTGAACTCCACATAGCTGGCAGACAAGTCTGAGACATCAATACCCAATATAAGAGACACTAAGTGTCATTGTCATTAGAGTTTGACCAAATGCAACATTCTATCATATTGACTAGTTAATTTAATGAAACACTTTGTACATCCCTCAGATAATATTCTCAATGATATGAATTGGTTGGGAAGCCAATTTTTCAATAAATGCCAAGTTGTTCAACAACTGTCAGAGTAAAATCAAAATAGTAACCATTTAAAAACATGATCATCATTACCTGATTAGATAAAAGTTAATTCTGGAATAATAACCTTCTCTCTGTCACTCACCCTCTCCAGTTTTTTCTTTGCAACTATTCCAGCAGAGTTTTGTAGTGTTTGGGTTTCATTTCTTTGTATTGAAAATTCAAATATATACTTTATCCACGTTCCCTCACACTATTTTCCTACCAGATTTATATGGTTGGATCTTTCTAGATGGATGAGTTACCTTACTTCTGAGATTCAGCCATCATACATATGAATATGTATTCATATAGTAAAATATTTCATTTAAATGAACTCTTTTCAATATCTATTTTAATAAATAAAATTTGGAGCTGGGGTTGTGGCTCAGTGGTAGAGCATGTGTGAGGCACGGGGTTCAATTCTCAGCACCACAAATAAATAAACGAATAAAATAAAGGTCCATCAACAACTAAAAAAAATTATAAATAAATAAATAAATAAAATTTCACAGCACACATTTCGTTTACTAATTTTGCTCTTTTTTATTATTTCATTCTAGCAATAACCCATTGGGCATATATAGCAAGTATTAGGTCCTTGGTAAGGATAGTCTGTTCATATCAAATTTGGGACAAGTGTTTTCACTGATTGCTTCCTCTCCATTTTCATGAAACTCTGCTTTCCTAGAGCCACCCAGTTAGTCAAAAGTGGTGACAGAATTTAGGCAATGCAGGTAATGCTGTGCATAGATTGATTTGCTTCCAGTGGGATCTAGGGAGGCATCCTATCACTAAATATTTGAATATTTCTGTGTTCATTAATGTGATGGTTTCATTAAGTACAACAAATAAAGATCATAAAGTGTAATCAATGAAAACCATAGCATTATATCTATTCATGTCAGGTGTTGCAGCCAAATAGTTGTAAGGGGTTTTTGGATTTGGGAGTTGCAGATAAAGGACTGTGATTATGTATTCCTCTGGCACTGGTACTATCCACCACTATGTGAAGCAACCATCCTTTAATATGCAATGATTACTTGCACACTTTTTCTTTCTTACTGCAAAGCTTCTCTGTATAGCAAACAAGCTATTTGTGGCCAACAGAGAGAACATTAACCTTAAGTATTCTTTCTATTGCTTTCATTGTGCACAAGATGCAATTTTCTTTTTTCTTTCACTACTAAGAACTCAATTACACTTTACACAATGTCACTCAAATAATTTTCACCTGTTTCTTTCTTTCAACTTGTTCTCTGACTTCTTTCATAATGGTCATAAAAAGGTGAAGGAGGAAAAGGATAATACCATATTAAAGAATCCAAGAAAGGAGAATGTGTCAAGAGGATGACAAGTTCCCTACACTGTAAAATGCTTCAAAGACATTTATGAGGATGAGGACCAAAAAGCTGTGACCTTGATAATCACAATTCACAATGACCTTTGAGGGAGAAGTTTCCTCACAATGTGGAATGGAAGTCAGAGTGTAAAGAGTTGAGCAGCAAGTTGATGGTAGTGAAATCAAATACAGACCTTTTTCTTTCTTTCTTTCTTCCTTCCTTCCTTCCTTCCTTCCTTCCTTCCTTCCTTCCTTCCTTCCTTCCTTCCTTCTTTCTTTTCTTTTCTTTTCTTTTTTTTAAAATAGGGTCTCACTGTGTTGTCCAGGTTGGTCTAAAATCCATGGGCTCAAGTTATCCTCCTGCCTCAACCTCCCAGACCTGGGGTTGTGGCTCAGTGGTAGAGCGCTTGCGGCTCAGTGGTAGAGCACTTGCTTAGCATGTGTGAGGCAGTGGGTTTGATTCTTTAGACTTATTTTTAATTAACCAGAGTCAATATCCTTTAACAGTTTTCAGACCTTTACCTGCTTATATTTCCTGAATTTAGTATGATATCTTGAATAGAGTGTTGGGAATTCAATAAATTCTTAAGGAAGGGAAAAAGGAAGAGAAAAGGGAAGGAAACTAAGAAAGAAGGAAAAAAGACTATTATGTGTTTGCTTGTGTGAATGAAGTAATGATATATGTGAATTTATGAAATGTAAAATGAGAAAATATTATGTTTAAGGGGCCTCATAAATTTGAAGCAAAATCTGGGAATTTTTGAAATTTGAGTTTCTTTTTTATTCTAAGCCTGTATTTTCTCCTATTTCTTGTTTCTTATCCAGGAATGATGATAAATGTGCACATTTCACATGATGATATTCACATCTGAAATCTGATCAGTTTTGTATTGTTGGAAATGGAACCTAGGGCCTCACACATGCTAGGCAAGCACTCTACCACTGAGATACTTCACAAGCCCACTACTTTCTTTAATGTTATGGTGTCTTGTATTGGTTAGTTCTTGTGGAAAACATGGATGATGAAACTACACAGAAAGAAAAACAAGTTATTGCCATTTACATTTCTTCTATGAAACAAGTCCAGGTATCACAATCCCAGCTAACTCATTCTATACTGACTTGGTTTTCAGATGTTCTGTCTTTCTACTTTCATCAAATAGATTTTGCTATGGATTTGGAGAGTGAAATGACAGCTGTATTTCCACTTGCTTTACAACAGTACATATCACCTCATAATGTGTTCCATCACGGCCCATTACATGATCATTAAATTAAAAATGAGAAGCGTGGTTGATGATTGACTACTCTCTAATTACTCAGAGTGTTTGTTAAAGGCAGTAGGCAGGAGACATAAGCTCTACTTTGCTGTTTATTGATTATAGAGGTTATAGCACATCTCTACTAGCATAAAAACCCTCCCCAACAAGGATGTTTAGTAAAGCAGACATTTCCCAATAGAAAAAAATCCCCTCCCCACCAGAATAAACAGTGAAGAAATGATCTAATGATTAAAATGGATTCATCCCAAGCCTTCAAAACAAGAAACATACCTGGAATCAGTTTTTCTCAAGCTTTTTCATAATTGAGACATATTTAGATCTTTTTCCTAATAACTCTCCTATGAAATTTTAATACCTTAGATATATTGTTTTTATGTTTATTTACTGTGACCTTTCAGAGGGCAACAAATACAAGTGTAACATCTCATCACTTTTGCTATATTCCATTCATTAGAAGCAAGTAATAGGTATGATATGCACTCGGGGGAGGGGATTACATGAAGGTGTGAACACCAGAGATGTCTTCCTCACTTCCTACAGATGTATCTCCTGAGAGAACTCCCCAATAAACCTACTCATCTTCAAATCCATATCTACTGGACTTGAAGATGTAGAACAGAGAAGTGAGATAGAAGGACTAGCTATAGCCTTGACTATGGGTGACAATGGCAGAATACATAGCAAATTTTATTTCCATAATCATTATTAGAATTTAGAATGATTTTGGGGCCTATCCAGAAGCAGAATCAAGTCTATATTCCAAGGAAATGAAATCAGTATTTTGAAGACACATTTGCACTCCCATGTTCACTGCAGCACCATTCACAATAGCCAAGAAATGGAAACAACCTAAGTGTCCATCAACTGATGAACAGAAAGAAATAAATATATATGAATACAATAGAATACTACTCAGCCATAAAAAATGGATTCCTGTCATTTGTGACATCATTAATGAAACTGGAGATCATCTATGAAGTGAAATAAGCCATGCACAGAAAGATAAGTTCCACATGAACTCACTCATATGTAGAATCTAAAAAGCTAATTTCCAGGGCTGGGGTTGTGGCTCAGTGGTAGAGCGCTTGCTTAGCATGTGTGAGGCAGTGGGTTTGATTCTCAGCACCACATAAAAATAAATGAATAAAATAAAGGCCCATCGGGCTGGGGATGTGGCTCAAGCAGTAATGCGCTCACCTGGCATGCGCAGGGCACTGGGTTCAATCCTCAGCACCACATATAAAAAATAAAATAAAGATGTTGTGTGTCCACCGAAAACTGAAAAATAAATATTAAAAAAATAAAGGCCCATCAACATCGAAATTTTTTTTTTTTTAAAAAGCCAATCTCCAGGAAGCTGAGCATAGAATGATGATTACCAGAAGCTGAGTATGGGAAAGGAAGGATGAGGAGAGGTTGGTCAAGGGGTACACTAAGTTGTAGTTGGATAGGAGTAAGAAGTTCTGGTGTGCTGTTATTGCACATTAAAGTGACTACAGATAATTATAATGTATTTTTCAAAAAGCTAAGAGAAAAGACTTTCAATGTTTTCACCATAAAGAATGATAAGTGTTAGAGAAGATAGCTATTTTGGCTTGATTTAAACATTATGCAATATATATATATATATATATATATATATATATATATTGAAACATTACATGGTACCACATAAATATGTACAATTTTATGTCTTTATGTATCAATTAAAAGGTAAATTTAAATCAAAATAAAGTTTTAAAGCTAAAGGTATCCTCAAACAAGGACACAGAGGACAAAAATAAATCATTTCTAAGGTTGAAGATCACATTAAACAGAACTAATAAAAATTAAGACTGTGATCCACAGTGTGAAAATAAATCACAGACCACAATCAGTCACACAATCATAAAGAGGTGATTAGTGCTTTATTAAATTAGCATAGACTGAATTTTTACATATTGTAGAAATAGTCAACAAATAAAACTCTTCTATTAGAGACTGATATTCAGAAACTAGATAAGCAATATATCATGTTGGTATAACAGGAAAATTTCCATCCTGTGAATCAATATTCCCATTTTTATCCATTCTGTTTATAATAATTGCTTTTTACTTTTGCTTAGTCATATACAGAGTGATATAAACAATATTTAAAAAGGATCCATTTTCAGTGATTGATATACCATGTTACATTGATATACCATGTTATCCACTGTAAAATTAATTTTCCTCAGGTCTTTGAAGTGTGAAATATATATATATATATATATATATATATATATATATACACACACACACACACATACATATGTATGTATATATATATATATATATACACATACATATATGTATTTCTGACTTTACTTCTAGAAATGCTTAAATCAATAACTACAATACCAAATGACTACACCTACACACTGTATTGTCAGAAAAATATTTTGAGTAGTTGCCACCTATGATTTTAGTAGTCTTCATGGGTAAAATTGATTACCTATCACTTTCAAATACATTCAAAATTTCTTACAAAAGAAGAATGGCAAAATAAAAATATATAATCTGCCCTTGATATTTTAAGATGCTTAGCAGTCACAAAGAAACAAGTGTTAAGTTTCTTGAGAAAGCAGACCAGCAACCCTTCAGAGAGGGGTGAGCCGTTCATCCTCTGTCACAAAAACATCATTAATGTGCCCTCCCTTCAAGTCCAGGGGATCGCAGGGGATGCCATTTTCAATTGTGATGGTGTTTTCACATTTCTCTTCTGCATCATCCACTTCAGATGATCCTTTGTTCTTCCTAAAAGCATATAAAAAGAATCAGTGGGATCTAGAAGGAGAAAATATGGCTGAGTATGGTCTTTGGTACAAATATGGAGGAGAGAATGGGGCACAGGAGCCTTTAAAAGATGAAATGATCAATATTATATATTTTCAAATAATTTTGAAGACCATAAAGAGCTGGTGAGGTGAAAAGATACTATGTAGATAAGACTTTGTATGGATAATATATACATATTTATAGGAAGAAGTAGTCTTATTTAAAAAACTAAAATAAATGTATACAAATACCTATATAAATGAATACATATGAATAAATATAGTGCATGCATATACATATATACATGTATATTCACAAAAACTGCATGAAGAAATGTGAGGAAAATGTATGGTACATTGGCAAGTTGAAAAATTGACCTCTAGGAGAACTTAGTAAAAACTGAATTAAAAAAATCAATAAACTGTTCTCATAGGATTTGACAAATTAATGGTTTGCAAATGTTGACAGAAAATCAAATTGAAATGCCATATTGAAAATAAAGTTCATATTATTTTGTAGAAAGTAATTGTTGTAAATTGCAGATATCATTGGTTGTCTCTACTAATTACAAAGTAGCTATCTTAATTTGTAAGTCAGGATTTTTGGACCCAGAACATTCTCCTAATTACATTATAACTCACAGCTGAAAGTACAAATCATTCCAAAAACTTCTACATGACAGGATAAACTTTTTAGTTTCTCATACTCTGAGTCTTTGTAGACCCTGCTACCCCAACCTAAGTGGTAACCAGATCCTTCATGTTTCCTTGGAGTATGGAAAGCTATGACCTCAAAATCAAAAGTTTTTCCTGTCTCTTATGAAAGACTAACAAACTGAGCCAATTATGTTTGATAATTATGGGGCAAGGGAAAGATGAGAGGTTGGTGCCTATAGGCAACCAGAGGGAGAGGGGTTTCCCTGAGGGCTCATCATAGGTTGGATTTTGGGACACTACTCTGTGGTGGCACCCTGGAGGCATGATGTTAGGCATGAGATTCTCAGACTTGCCAAAGGTTCTCTTGTACCAAGAATCTGTGGACCTCCAAAGAGGCAGATCTGAAATGATCCTTCATCTAGAATGTTGTACATTCCTGTGGTGATCAGAGTGGACTCCCACTACTGTGGCACCTTGATGAGTCTCTGACAGGTGAAGAGGTAGTGAAGATAAACTGATGATGACTCAGATGGAAGTTCCTGTTAGTCATACTTGAGAAAGCATTTTAATTTGCTTTTTTTTTGTACTAGGAATTGAACCCAGGGGCAGTTAGCCACTGAGCCACATTCCCAGCTCCATTTTTTTTGTATTTTATTAGAGACAGGATCTCACTGAGTTGCTCAGGGCCTCGATAAATTGCTGAGGCTGCCTTTGAACTTGTGATTCTCCTGCCTCACCCTCCCGAGTCGCTGGGATTACAGGCATGCACCACTGCACCTGGCTCTTATTTGCTTTAAAGAATACAATGGAGGAGTTTAAGCCTGTAATCCCAGCAACCCAGGAGGCTGAAGCAGGAGGATCCCAAGGGCAATGCCAACTTGGGCAATTTAGTGAGACCCTGTCTCGAAATAAAATTTAAAAGCAGGACTGCGAGTATAGATCAGTGGTAGAGTACTTGCCTAGCATGTGCTAGGCCCTGGTTTAATTACCACCAAAAAGAAAATAGTAGAGAAAAGAGAAAGTTTCTCTCTCTCTCTCTCTCTCTCTCTCTCTCTCTCTCTCTCGGGAGCTGGTTGAATTGTCTTTATTAACAAATGGGATATCTAAGGCCACTACATTGAGGAAGGGCAAGGGAAGGAGAAGGGCTACTTGCGGCTCACACTATATACAGATGCAAGCAAGGGGCCACGAAGGGTGAGAGCTTCATGCTCCCTCCCTCCACCAGGGAAGGGGAGAGGCTAGAAGAGATGGGGGCTAGGAAGGGGGAAATGTTTTGGCTGGCAGGGTCCCCACTCCATTCCCTTGGGCTTGGGGGGAATCATTAAAGTGCTGAGAAAGCTCTTCTTTACAGAAGAATGCCAAATAATATAGAAAGGGTAATAGGAATAGAAAACCACAACTGCAGTAATAATTGATTCCAATGGAGCTCATCAATAGATACTAGTAAGAGATTATTGGGGAACAGGATATTCACATGGTCTCAAAATATCCACTCCACAAATAATGTATTAATTACAAAAAAGACACTTCTATTTTGCCAAAGAGGAAATCTGATGAACTCCACCAACAATTAGACAAACTGACAAGTGCCTTCAGATATGATAAAAATGATTCCAGATACATGTTTTGTTTTGTTTTGTTTTTTTTGTATTCATGCACCACCCATTCTCGATTTTTTTCTTGTTTTGGTCCTGGGACTTGAAACCAGGGGCACTTTACCACTGAGCTACATCCTCAGTCCTTTTTGTTTTCAAATTTTTGTTTATTTTATTTTTGTTGTTGTTTTGAGACATGTTTCACTACATTGCTTAGTGCCTCACTAAATTGGTGAATCTGATCTCAAACTTGTGATCCACCTGCCTGAGTCTCCCAAGTCACTAGTATCATTAGAAGCATGCACCACCATACCCAACTCCGTTCTCAATTTTTGACCTGAATTTCATAATGAGGAACTCATCAGAAAAATCCAAATTTAAAACAATTGACCTGGACTCAACCCAGCATAGGAACTCAACTCAGTGAATAATGGATCAATGGTTGGCTATAACAAATTAGTGGATGGATAGATAGATGATAGATGGGTGGTCAGACAAATGAATGGATGGATGATGCATGGACTAATGCTTCAGGCAAAGTTACTCAAACATTAGTCCAACGTAGATCTTGAATGGGATCCACCACACACACATACACACATAGACAAATAAGTAAAAAAGGGAGGAAGGGAGAGAGGAAGGGAAGGGAAAAAAACAGAGGAAGGAAGGGCATATGAAATTTTTTGTCTCATATTTTTAATGGGTGGCAGAAAATATGCATTTTCTTACATTAGATTAGGAATTAGTGTGGGTTTTACCAGAATTCACTGATGATTTGCTAAATTATTTGAAATAGTTGAAGTTCATAAAGGAAAGTAGCATTCCAATGTCATCATTTGAAAGTATTTAGCCATTATGTATCCCACCATCAAGTGCTACAAGTGACACTATAGACAATCACTAAATTGGAATCATTGGATATTAAACATTAATTTGTAAAACCTTTGGGTCAATGCTGGTTAGAAGATGAGGTTGCAGTCCCAGAAACCTAGGAATAAACAGGCTACTGTGTTTTCTCATATTCCAGATGAAGATTCACTAGCCATTCTAAACACTAGCAATCGATGATCACCACAGGTTAGGGTACACTAGATTTCAGTATGATGAGAGGGTCCTTCAGTCAAGTTAAATCACCCACTGAAAAACTAGAACATTTAGCCCCTCCTCCTGTGGACAGGAGTATTAGCCCTTTCCAGATCCCCCAGAAAGCGAAAGCAATTGACATTCTATAGTCATCAGTCACATCGCTTCCACTTATAGTATCCAACATTGCTTAACTATGTTTTGAACGCCTACCTGTGAATGAGACACAAGTCTCCTAAAGGAAAGAACTTGATGAAAGGAAAAAGTCTTCAAATTCACTCATCCTCCTTCTCCTCATTTTTAATGCTTTATAAAAGAGAAGAGTTATTTTTTAGAGGAATTAAATGCTAGTAAGAAATGTACATTTATAAATTGTAATGAAAAATGCCTAGTTCACAGAAAGTGTCTTCAAATCTCTCCTCACTGCGGTTGGAGTGAATGATAATTTTCTATAACAATGGATTTTAAATAGTCAAATTTTATCCTGAATTTTCTGTTCTGAAATCTGTATATCAAAAATCTTAGTGGATGTAGCATTCTAAAGTAAGTGGCAATGCAATGGTAGTCTTAGAAATAATGAACGGCTAGTGTCTATTTGCCAATTTTAAAAATAAAAGATGTTTTTATAGAATTAGAAGACAAATGGCAGAGAGCTGAACATGTGCAGGTCAAAGTAAGGAATATTGCCTCCTCCTCCTCAGCCAGGAAGGAAAAATAATCCATCAGGCATCACAGTGAATAGAAAAGAAAGAAAAGGAAGAAGCAAAGAGATGAAGAGACATTTCTTTTTTCTTAGAAAAAGGATAATTTCCCAACAAAAAGCTTCTGAGAGAAATTGCTGAGGAAATTTGTCCAATTGAGCTGTGTCAGTGACAAATTAGGTACTTATTGGTTTTTTCGACCTTAGATCCCGTTGTTCAGAGTCTTGGCATTGCAGGGCTTCACAAACTGCAATGTCAGTAACTTGCTAGCTGGTAGACATGATAAGCAGCTCAAAGGTTATCTAACAGTAATATAGCACTTTGTCACATTTCATAGTGCGCACTGTAATAAACTGATTCACTGCCTGTGCAGTGATACTGAGAATAATAAAACTTAACTGTCTTTCTGGATCATTCTGATTTGATATTCTGCTAAAAAAAATGTGAGTTCTTTTTCCTGCAAAATAAAATTGAGTGTTAATGACTTTCACTGTTCCTGCAATGTCAGGTGGTTCAAGAAGAGCATGAAAAAAACCATTACTAAACTACCTCTTAGCAGCCTTGAGAGTGGATGTCTCTGATAAATCCAGAAAGAAAAGAATCGAAGGAGGAGACAAAAGAAGTCTCAGGTAGCCCTTAGGGCTCCCGTGGGGGTGGGGTTGAAGAACAGGGTTTGCTCTGTTCTGAAATAAAGTAGTGATGACTAAAAGCAGAAAAAGTATTTCTGTATCACTTTAAATAAAACATGGCTGAAGAGCTGAGGTTCAAGAATAACCAGAAAAGCAATACAGGACAGACAAATATGTCTGAAAATTTTCATACAGGATAGAATTATTGGGGAATTGGGATTGTCCTCATAATCAGGCTTGGAGGAAATATCAGTATTACTAGAATGATTTGAGTGGGTATTGCAGCCCAATAAGATTGACAGGCTTTGGGAATCA